CGCCATTAAATTAGTTGGGGGAATGAAAATCCTTGGACATCAAGAAAATACCCATCACCTAGATTCTACAATTAACATTTATCTCACTTGCTTTACTACATATCTACCTGTCTTTTCATCCCTCTATCCAACCAGAAATTCACATCATGTTTCAGACACAGTAAACTTTACTCCTGAACAGTTCAGCATGCATATTATAACTAGAGGCCAATACTTGCTTACGATTCTCTTTTTAGGTACAATTTTCTTATAATCAAATATATCAAGCTTACGTGTACCATTCAAGTTTTGCCAAATGTATTCAGCCGTGTATCTCAAATCTCTATCTACCCATAGCCCAGAAAGTTCCCTCCCCTCATGCCCCTTCCCATCGCTATTCTAATATGTGTCACTATTAATTAGTTTTATCTGTTCTACAACTTCATATACATGGTGTTATAATTTATTTACTCTTTTGTGTTAAGGGATTTTTCTCACTGAAGGTCATGTTCTTGGGCTGCATCTGTGTTGTTTTGTATGTCAGGAGTTTTTCCTTTTAATTCTTCAGTATCACTCTATTGTGGAAATATACTGATTTCACTTTCCTCTTGACAGATACCTGGCCTATTTCCAGTTTGGGGTTATTCTAAATAAAACTACTATGAATACTCCTATAAAGATCTTTTTGTGAATGTTTTCATTTCTCTTGGGTAATTACCTGAATTGCCAGCTCATAGGACAGGAGTATGTTTATTTTTATAAAAAACTTCCAGAACTATTTGCAAAGGAATTGTACCATTTTAACCCCCACCAGCAATGCATGAGAGTGTCTGTTGCTGCACATCATCACTGATAGTTGGCTTTTTCAGTCTTTTTTTTTTTTTTTTGAAATTACAAAATAAGAATATTCACAATAGAAAGTGCTTTTATCATAAAAAGAATGATTAATGCGATATCCATACACATGTGCCCCTGTTACTATATAAGTTCAGGTTTCTTAAGTCAGCTAATTAAAGACATTACATCCTAATTCTCATCTTTAAGGAGTTATTTGAAAGATACATTATTTGGCAGTTATTTTAAATGTTTTTGCATTCAACTTGAGCTCTAAGTCACTGAACGATTGTTGATGTTCATTTCTAGGGTGTTTTCCTATTAATACTTAGGCCTTCAACATAATCAAAATTATAATAGTTTAGCTTTTGACTTATGCTCATAAGAAAATAAATAATCACAACCTAGTCACTAATTGATAACATTTATTTTGTCTGAATTGAATGAGCATCAGTCACCTCAGGAATGTCTCACAGACCTAAAACTTTAAGAAGAATGAATCATTGTAGACTGAGTCTAAGTGATGTGTGGTAAAGTTAGCTCTGAGTTAAAATTGCTGCCATTTCCTTCTTAAATCATTATTTTAAAAATATTATTTCAGACTGAGGAAAGGAGAGAGAGAAAGATAGAAACATCAGTGATGAGAGAGAATCATTGAGTGCCTCTTGCATGCCCCCTCCTGTGGAGAGGGCCCACACCCAGGCATGTGCCCTTGACTGGAATCCAACTGTGACCCCTGGTTCAAGGGTCGATGCTCACTCACTGAGCACCACCAGCCGGGTACAATTTTATGATAATGTAAATGTTTCCTTAGGCTTTACCATTTATCCCTGAGAGGTTTCAAGCTTTCAAATTGCTGTTTTCTTGGCTTTTCCTCCATTCCCCATGCTCTGACTCCTGCTCATTTGTTATGAAAATAGCCTAAATGATCTTAATGCTTCTCAAAACTGTATTTCAGTTCACTGCTTATAACATTAAACAGAGTATAACCCATTTGACAATTTGCCTTTTAATGAACCTTTAGTAATTAGTAATACAGCTGAATGCTCTCAAGTGGGAGAAATAAAATATATAAGTCTGGAGGCTAATGCAACCCAGTCAAGGGATCATGAATCACTGACATGAAAGATAATGTTCCCACTTCTCTTTAACTAGTTTCTCTCTCTCTCTCTCTCTCTCTCTCTCTCTCTCTCTCTCTCTCTCTATATATATATATATATATATATATATATATTTCAATTTTCCCAACATCTCAAAGGATAATCCACGAGTACTATATGTATGAAGGTTTTAACTAGAAAATGTGTAATGCAACTTTAGCAGCAATTAATTTTAGTTGGGCAGATTTCACTTCCAGTGGCACCTATTTAGTTCCTTCCTGTAACCGTTACAAAGGGTGAAATGGTTCCATAGTTCCTGGAATCGCCATTGGCTACAGAGGCATTAGGGAGATGGCACCCAAGGAAATGCTATGAATTAGGCATTTTAATCTCCATTTCCATTTGCCTTTTACAGAAGCACTTAATACATTGCTTTATCTCTCTCTCCCTCTAGCTACAAAATAATAAATAAAACATACTGGCTCTGAAGTTAAGACTAGAATATTTTAACTCTAGTCATTTCTTTAAATTACTTTAAATGTCATCTCTATATGAGGTTTTCATATTTTTGGAACTGAGCCACTACGCATATATCTTTGAAAATAAGAATACTCCATCCCTTGGAATGATACTGTCCTTGCTAACTGTCCCACTCATCAAATGTACAATGCATACAACAGATTTATTATAGGTGGTTTTTTAAATCTGCATCTGAGCCACCAGGGCCAATGTTATGCGTAGGTGAAAATAGGCAGTTAGGATTGGGGCGATGAGGCAGCACAGAAACGAACCACCTGTCTTAAAATATTTTCCCTCTAACCTGCCTTAGGGATGAGACACTACCTTCATATTCTTCTATCGAAGTCTGTGTATCAGCAGGTAACATACAGCAGCACGACTTTTGATTACACCAACTAGTAATGCCCATAATCCCTTCAGAGTCTAGCGGGGGCCATGCAGGGATGGGTCACAGACAGACATTTTGAAAGGCTCAGAAGCTATGAAATAATGAGACCTCATGTGTGTGGCGGAGGAGTATGGAGATCCAGCCTGAGGGTGGGACATTCTGAAAGAAAATCTGGAAACTTTCACCAGAAACATGCTTGATTCCAATGTTGGCCTAGAGCCGTGGTTGGCAAACTTTGGCTCACAAGCCACATGTGGCTCTTTGGCCCCTGGAGTGTGGCTCTTCCACAAAATACCTTAGCCTGGGAGAGTCTACTTTGAAGAAGTGGCGTTAGAAGAAGTTTAAAAAATATGGCTCTCAAAAGAAATTTCAATCGTTGTGTTGTTGATAGTTGGCTCTGTTGACTAATGAGTTTGCCAACCACTGGCCTAGGGCTAGTCCCCTGAGACACCAATGAGAAAGTAATGTAGTCTTTTATTTTTCTGATAAAGCCACATTTTGCATATAAGCTCTTTGGAGACACTTTGTTCTTTCTGACACAGGAAAGACACAGGATGACTGCATTTTCTTATGTTATGTAAGCCACAAAGTTAGACATACTCTGGCTCATCCACTAAATAAGTATTAAAAATGGAAACTGTCATTGTAAAGCACTATGTAAATATAAATTCTTTTTACACCCAGAATTTAAAAATTGAAGCCTCAATTTTTCTCCTAATAATTACCCCAGACATTTTGCCACTGACCCACTTTCCAAAGGATTCAAATCCAAACACTGCATTATTTCATCAGATTTCAATGCATTTTAAATGAATGGGGATAGAGATAAAAATAACACATTAGGACAATGGACAGAGTTCACTTGTAAGCTTCTTTCATTTCAAATCTATCTCTAAACTTTATCCTTTTTGTTTAGTTTACTTTATTCAGCACATGTTAATTTACCTGCATATAAAAGAAAGAGTTTTGCCCTGGTCAGCCTGAGCACCAAAGGGTCTTGGTTTCAATTCTGGTCTAGGGCACCACTTGGGTTGCAGGTTCACTCCAGCCTAGTTAAGTGCTTGCAGGAAGCAAGCAATGGATGTGTCGCTCTCACATCAATATTTTTCTCTCTCCCTTCTCTCTCTTTCTTCTACTTCTCACCCTCATTTCCACTCTTTCTGAAATTCAATGGAGGAAATATTATTGGGTGAGGATTTAAGAAAAAAAATAGCTTTATTGATAACTAACTCCTCTTTCCTTAATCAAAAAATAAAAGTGAATCACTCATGTTTTATCATATTCACATTTATTTTTTAAAATATATTTTTTTAGATTTCAGAGGGTAAGGGAGAGGGAGAGAAAGAGAGAAATATCAATGATGAGAGAGAATCATTGATTGGCTGCCTCCTGCATGCTTCCAGTGGATACAGTATGGACATCCACAGGCCAATGCTCTATCTACTGAGTTGAACAAGCTAAAGCTATCATATTCACATTTATATTTTTATCGTAGTTTATTGAGAAAGGCCCAAGGACTACAGAATAAATTTTAAAACTTAAGTTTAATATTTAGTTAGCACTAGATTGTTAAGCATAATTATTAGAATTTTATTACTTTTCTCTTTTTTCATAAAAATTTTATTTTTTCATTAAAAACTTTTGGCCTCTCACAAATTAACCATAGCAAACAATAAAGGAACATCCTTTAGACAGAAACAAAAGCTTTCAATAAAGATAATTTGTATCTTCTAATCATATTATGCTAGGGCCTTAATATTAAAGAACAATCTCACCACTGCCAATTGACTAGCTCTTCATTTGTCTCTCTGAAAATAAGAGGTTTTAATCTCTTCTTGCAAGCCAGGATATTTTTATGGTTTAAATATATTTTGAAATTTGTTCCAATACTTAAGTTGAAAATATCTGATATTTTCAATTACTTAAAGCAGTTATGATTTTCAGCTCCCAGCAGAAATCTGCTGCTGAAGGGGGGAAAAAATTAAAAGCTGTTAGTCAGAAAGACACTTATGTAAGAACTATGATATTGGTCATTGGTTTGAAAGCAGGAAGTCCTAAATTTTAGACTCAAAGATTTAAGGAAGCATTATTCAGCACCTTTTCCTCTCAGAGCTAAGGCGAATGGCTGATGAGTAAAATCCTGAGAATGTTCACAGCTTTTCTCTTTCATTGTGTTGCAGCCCGGAAGGTGGTGAGATCCATCCAGAAATCTGTCGGCTTTATATCCAGCTGCAGTGCTGCTTAGAAATGTACACAACAGAGATGCTAAAATCCGTATGTCTGCTGGGGTCTCTTCAGTTTCATCGAAAAGGTAGCTACATTTAATATATTGCCATAAACCCTGAGAAATATTAAGCAGAAGCTCATCTTTTGCAAAGTACCTGCATGCACTGTATGTCTATCCACACACAATTAGAATGGATGTAAATGTTCAGGGAATATTTGATATCCATACTAATAAAAAAGAAAGATGGAAATTGTCTGTACCTTCTCAACACCCACCAGCCAATCAGGAGTGAGTATGCAAATTATCCCAACAAATATGGCAGGTTAGTTTGCATATGAGGCATTTCTCACCACCCAAGCCACTCCGTGCCTCTGGGCAGTGTGGGAAGGCGGAAAGGCAGCTCCAGACCAGAGCAAAGGCGGTGCCAGCAGCTAGAGGAAGGAAGGCCCATTCTTGCACGAATCTTCATGTATTGGGCCTCTAGTAAATTAATAAAATAAATCAATATCAATTCTAAATGCCTAAAAACACTAATCACCTTGAGCAGAAATTGTGATAGAAACAGTTCTCAATTTATTATTTTACCACTTGTGAGCATGACTGATTAGAATTGACATAGGCATCAAAAATATATAATGATCTTACTAGGCTAGTAAATGCTATCCAAGATTGCTGCTATGTATTTCCCTAAATAAATTAGTTTGCAAGAAGATAAATTACCTATTGTATCCCAAAGGTTTAAAAGTAGGAGAATCTCAACAAACAATAGGGAGGCATATTAATTATAGAAAATCTCATTACCAGGCTTAAACTCTAAAAGGAGTCTATTGGCTGAAATGACTGAAGCCTCCAGCAGTGGTAATGGCTTTAGCATGTTTTTTATTAGACTACCGACTCCCATTCTTAGTGACATTCTGTCTTCTCCTGGCTTTACTTTTAGGCCGCCTTCCCCCACATTAGCAAACTGATTGCGACAGTTTGAGTAATAACATCTGCACATCACAAGATCCATAAAAAGTCAGAACTTCTCCCTACTGCAGACTAGCAAACATCCTAAGCTTCATTCTGATTGGACCAGGTCAGATCATGGGTCTATGCAACAAATCACTGTTGGCAGAGGGATGGAATTATGAAGACTGGTTTAGGCAATCAGGCCCTTTCCTGGAACTAGCAGAGGGTCAACCTCACCCAACCAGTGGCTCTTACATGACGTGAGAGGGTGAAATGGAATGAATGATGGGAAGAAGCCAAAAGTTCCATTACTGGAGGAGTGAACCCATATATTCTACACTAATTCACCAAACAGTAATTTATTGGGAACCTCCAGAATGCAAACATTTTGTATTTGAGCTCAGGAGAATTGAGGGTACATAAAATGAAATACATGTCTATTATTTAAATTCAGAGATAGAAGAAGTTAATAAACTAATACTCAAGGAGAATCTTATTGAAAGGCTTGGGTTTGAGTTGATTGTGAAGAAGATAAGGTTGTGATAAGATTGTGAAGAAGGGAAGGAAAAAGACACTTCAGGGGAAGAAACAAAGTAAATATTTGAAATCAAATGAGCTTGTAATTAGAGGGGAGCTAAATAACATGATAAAGTATTTGTAAAAATTATATCTGTGTATATACTGATGTATACACATAGGACTAAAAACAGGGTCTTGCTATGCTCCAAAAAAGAGAAAATTTTCTCCATGTACATATACTATATTTTTATCTGCATTCCAAAAACTTACATTTTAATGGTTTCTATCTTTACTTCTGTTACTAACACAAGTGAACTTGTTTGAAGAGATTATCTCGACACTCCTGAAGCCTGATCAGAAAAATGAGTATCATACACACTGATGAATTGATGACATCCAAACAGGTTGTCATGGCCCAATGTATTTACTTGTCCTCTCTCTCTCTCTCTCTCTCTCTCTCTCTCTCTCTCTCTCTCACACACACACACACACACACACACACACATCTCCCAGCTCTGTTTAAAAGTAAAAGAGGGCACCTCACCCAGATTTCTTCCTTATTGTATTTGGTGTTGAGCATACAAATAAAAACACACATCACCTTTGAGCTGATCAGCTCATTTGTCTTCACTGTCTTCTGTCTCTATTGTCAGCATTTTACCTACTTCCTTCCCTTCCTCTTCTTTTAAAAATAATAAACCCTGCTACTTGCTCTAGTGCTTAACTTATATACAACTCTAAAAATAATATAATTAATACAGTGGTGTTTCCAATGTGGCCTTGGGCTAGGGAAGGGGCCCATCTAGATGACCTCACTAACTTCTTCAGAAATCAATGCACCACCAGTCAGCCAATATCCAAGCCATAAACCATTCTTTTTTCATTCATCTATTTGACACATATTTATAAGCCAGCCACAATATACAACTAAATTCTACTACTTAACATCAAATTTAATAACTTATAATTCATGTTGACTGTTAGCTTTCCTGAGCATCCCTTTAATCTTCTTTCCATGTCTACTCTTAGTCAATTCTAACCTATGTTACTATGGATCCATCTGTCTGCCTTTCATCTTCAGAGAGATAGAGATAGAGAGATAGAGAGATAGAGAGAGAGAGAGAGAGAGAGAGAGAGAGAGAGAGAGAGAGAGAGAGAGAGAGAGAGAGGGAGGGAGAGAAAGATCAAATAGTGCTTAGAGTCTCAGGGGAATAGTGACTCCCATTCTAGCCTGTAACACTCGAAATTTCTTTATGCTTAGAACCCCTTCTGGTATGTTTTTTTAATGCTATTATGAAAACTGGTGTTTTGATAACTTTTAGGTTTAAACAACCTAAATTAAATATTTCTACTTTTCCATCAAGGAAAGAAAGGAAATTGTAATTGAGTCATTAAGTTTGGCTCAATATGAGTCTAGTCAATTTTTCTTTGAGATTAAATACTGAAACCAAATTGCTTCACGGTTACTTATATTTCTAATCACCTCCCTGGCTGCCACCAGAGGTCCAGCAAGTATTGTATATCACACTTAATTTTACTATTGTAGTGAGTCGTCATGAGTTTACTCCATGAAGGGCACGTAAGGTCAGTGCAGGTGCAAAGAATATGGTTTCTTTGTGGGGGGGGAAGAAGCCTCAAATCATTTTAATGTTCCTGCAGCATGCATGAATTTACTATCAAAGATTGTAATTTTCTCCCATTTAAGCAAACCATGATTATCCTTAATCCTTAGTAATATCTTTAGTGTATCTTTTTATTTTTATTTTTTGCATATACAATGCTTCTGAATTGTTGCTATCTCATAAGTGTGATCGATACAATCGATTATTTGGCAATCTTTTATACTTTACAACATTAAGCTATTGCCAAAGAAATGAAGAAAAACTACTAAAATTATGTTTTCTTTTTTGCATAACCAACAAAATTAAATTAAACTACTGAAATGTGAAGTAAAATCCACATTTAATAAAGGCTATTGGGTTATCCCATGCAGAGTGTGTTTCTGAAAAGCTATGTTTGTAGTTTATATTTATGAGGAGAATAATTTTAGACATCTTGTAGTTTCATATTCCAGCATGTTAAGTTGTAGGTTGGACCATTACTTGACAAAGTCTAATTTCTATGTTTATAGTGAAAAATAGTTGCTCTCACTTCTTCACACTTTGGTTGGTAGGAAATCTTTTCCCATAACCGAGTCCATGTATCACATTGACCGTAAATGCCATTTCCTGCCACCAGATGAAATGAGATTGCAGGTTTCATTCACTCCCAGGGAATTGAATGATCCTGCTCTCGCGGCCATGGCTTCCTCTCTCTCTCATTCTTGTCCCAGTCAATCAGTTTTGGCAACAGTCCCATTCAGAAGGGGCAGAGATGACAGAGCACTCCATGTGACTCCCCTTCACACCTGACCTTGCTCATTCTGTTTTTGTACTCATCTCACCTCACTTGCAGTGTCTCTGGCTCTGTTCTGCCTCTGCCACAGCGAACAGCAAATCTGTCCCCAGGTCCTCTGAGCGTATACCATTTTCCCATTCTCCCCCCAAAATAAGGGGTTTTCTCCCGAAATATGTCACCATGATTAACACAGAGATAAAAATATGCAGAGGAAATGTAATCACAAGAGGGAAAGAATAGAAAAATGTTAAAAATTGAAAAATCTTAATTCAAAATCTAGTGGGAGCTAAGGCCTCAAGAGGCTCTAATGAGAAATTAATGAGCTGCTATCCAGCAACATTCAGGATGAATTCAAGACAAAGAGCAGACTATGAACAGTAAAGACTCTAATGTATCCAGCCTCGCATTAAGAAAAGGAAATGATCCACACCAATAAAAACAAACAAACAAACAAACAAAAAAAAACAACAACAAGCGACATAAAGATAGAAATGGAATATAGTCAGAAGTAAAGACCTTATCCTTTTCTAATGTAATGAGGCAGTTGATACTAAAATAGAACAGTAGGGTCAGAAGAAACAAGCACAATAAACCTTAAAATAGACTATGATTCCAATTCTGAGTGGAAACATGCATTCATTGTTTGAACCAGTACGTATTGAGCACCTAACATATGTAAGGCACCATTGAAGGTGCAGTGATCAGGCTGAAGAGATCCCTGTTCTTGTGGACTATATAGTCTAGTGCAGTATTCTGCAAACTCATTAGTCAACAGAGCCAAATATCAACAGTACAACGATTGAAATTTCTTTTGAGAGCCACATTTTTTAAACTTAAACTTTTTCTAACACCACTTCTTCAAAATAGTCTCGCCCAGGCCGTGGTATTTTGTGGAAGAGCCACACTCAAGAGGCCAAAGAGCCGCATGTGGCTCGCGAGCCGCAGTTTGCCGACCATGAGTCTAGTGCAAAGAAATATTTTTTTTAAATGTTATAAACATCCCAAATATCAATAAATGAGATGTCAGTAATGAAAATAGAATGGGTGATGTAATCATGACTAGGTGTTCTAGAAGAGATGGTCAAACTCTGTAAAGAGGTAGCACTTGCCGAAACTGATTTGGCTCAATGGATAGAGCGTCAGTCTGTGGACTGAAAGGTCCCAGGTTCGATTCCAGTCAAAAGCATGTACATTGGTTGCAGGCACATCCCCGATAG